GCCGGGGCGGGCCGGGGCGGGGAGCGCGCGGGGCGGGGAGCACCGAGCATCCTCGCCGCCGCGCCGCGCCGCGCTGCGCTGCGCCCCGCGCCCACGCCGCCCGCGCCACGCCGCCCGCGCCCACGCCGCCCGCGCCCACGCCGCCCGGCCTGGCGCGCGGGTCCCCGGCGTGAACCGGAACCGCTTGCCGAGGCCGCCGGGAGCCGGGAGCCGGGCGCCGGCCGGGGAGCGCGGGGGGACGCGGCCTGCGCGGCGCCGCCCGCCATGGCCGCGGCGGGCTGAGCAGGGCGCGGCGGCCGCAGTCGCGCGGACCCGGGCGCTCTCCGCCGCCCGCAGGCCCCACGGCCGGGCCGGGCCGGGCCGGACCGGGCCGGGCTGGGCGCGCGCGCGGAGGCCGAGGGGAGCCGGGGCCGCCGCGCCCGCCCATGGCGAGGCCGCGCCGCCGCCGCCGCCGCTGCTGCCGCCGCCGCTGCTGCTGCTGCTGCTGCTGACCGGGCGGCCGCGCCTCGCGCCCCGCCGCGCCCCCGCGAGGAAGCGAGAGGCGCGCCGGCGGGGGCCGCCGAAGATGGGGAACACTACCTCGTGCTGCGTGTCGTCCAGCCCCAAGCTCCGCCGGAACGCGCACTCGCGGCTGGAGTCGTACCGGCCCGACGCCGACCTGAGCCGCGAGGACACGGGCTGCAACCTGCAGCACATCAGCGACCGCGAGAACGTGGACGGTGAGCGCCCCCCGGGGGGCCTCGGGCACGCGTGGGGCGCGCGCGGGGCCCCCGCGGAGCTGCGGCCGGCGGCGGCGCCTCCGGAGCGCGCGGGGCCCCGGGCACTGCGCGCGAGGACTCCGGGGCGCCCCTCGCTCCCCTCCCCCGATTCCGGGTCGAGGCTAGGAAAAGCCTTTGAAATTAAAAATAAATAACTGAATCAGTAAGAAGGCAGGGGAGGGCCGCGGGGCGGCGTCGGGGGTCGCTGTGCGTGGGTGGGTGGGCGCGGGTGGCCCCTGCGGGTTCCCCGAGCGGCGGACGCCGGGCCGCCTCTGAGAGACGCGGGATAGGAAGTGCGGGCTGCTGCCGGCTCCCCGCAGCCGGGGGAGTGCGTGACGCGTCCCTTGCGGGTCTTGGCGTGCGTGGGGCGGCAGGCTTGCTGGACGATGTCCACGCAGGAGCCGGTCCGCAGTGGGCGCTTGGTGGATGGCGGTCCCAGTGCTCCTGGGACACTAACCCACCCCTGGCTGTGCGTGAGCTGCAGTCCTGCTTCGACACCTGGAAGGGTGTCGCGGCCAGATCTGATAGCCCAAGCGCCTGAAAGAAATGCTTAGAATAGAGGTGCAGTGTTTTGCCTGAGGAACGAATGAATGAGTGAATGATTGCAGAAGGCCCTTGCCCAGCCGTGAACTGTGTCGGGCAGTAGCGTTTGGGAATAGGTGGACGCTTTGTTGCAAATCATGGATCATCATCAACAGCAGAGTTAGAGAAAGAGAGTTTCCATAAGCTGGTCCACTCCCCAGATGGCCGCAACAGCCTGTCCTGGGCCAGGCCGGAGCCAGGAGCTACTTCTGGGTCTCCCACGCGGGCGCAGGGGCCCAAGCACTTAGGCTGTCTTCCACTGCTTTCCCAGGTGCATTAGCAGGGAGCCGGATCGGAAGTGGAGCAGCTGGGACTAGAACCCGCGGCCATATGGGATGCCGGCACTGCAGGTGGCAGCTTAGCCCAGGATACCACAGAGCCAGCCCCCATCAAACACTTCTCTAAAGTGTTTCTTTGAAAGGCAGAGCAACAGAGAGCGAGCGAGCGAGAGCAAGAGAGAGAGATATTCTATCTGCTGGTTCCCTGCCTAGGTGCAGCCGACAGCCAGGGCTGGGTCCGGCGGAAGCCAGCAGCCAGGAACCGCAGGTCTCCTGCGTGGGTGGCAGCGACCCAGGTACTAAAGACTTCAGGTGCTGCCTTCCGTGCTGGAGCAGGGAGCTGGGTGGGAAGTGGAGGTGGAACCACGCACTTTGATCTGGGCTGCGGGGTCTCGAGCCACGGTTAACTTGCCACGCCTCAGTGCCTGCCCTTGGTCAAGCATTTTTGAGAGAAGGTTGGGAAGTGCAGGTTCTAATCTGGGCTGGGGTCCCCTCACTCCACATCCTGGCTCCTACGATGAGGCATTTAAACAATGTTCTGTCTCCCAAGCTCGGTAAGTAATGGTTCCGGGACTTACCTAACCAGCGCTTCTCAGTGTTGCTTTCGGTTGGACCAGAAGTCTAGGGCTGGATGTTGGCATTAATAGTTTATTTAGAGCTCCCCAGGGAATAATAAGATGTAGCTCCGCTTGGTAATTGCTGGCTGGGTGGAACTTGGAAGCGTTACCACCTGCTGTTCGGAGACAGTTTTGGTAAAAATTAGTGTTGGAGGCTGGGAGAAGGAGACAGATTTATTTAAATGGCGTGCATATCCATATATATATATATATGTATCTATGTATAACTATCTATATTTATATGTATCTGGACTCCTGAGTTAGGTTATCAGATTCTTAAAACTACGTCTCAACAATTCTTTTTATTTTTTTGACGATTTATTTATTAATTTGAAAGGCGGAGTTACAGAGAGGCAGAGGCAGAGAGAGAGGTCATCCGTCCACTCATTCACTCCCCAAATGGCTGCAAAGGCCGATCCAAAGCCCGGAGCCAGGTGCTTCTCCTGGTCTCCCATGCGGGTGCAGGGGCCCAAGCACCTGGGCCATCCTCCACTGCCTTCCCAGGCCACAGCAGAGAGCTGGATGGGAAGTGGAGCAGCCGGGCCTCAAGCCAGCGCCCACGTGAGATGCCGGCCCTGCAGGCGGCGGCTTTACCTGCTACGCCACAGTGCCAGCCCCTGGAGAATTCTTGATCCAAGTGTAGTGTGAAAGCTGAAGTGCTCAGTTCTGTCTTATTTAAATCCCGAAAAACTTCCTAGGCACTGATCTTGAAAGAGACAGAGGCGTGCTTGTATTTCTGTGGTTCCTTTGACTCCCGGGGGTGAGACCCGTTCTCCGTGTTTTCCGCGTGCTGCTCCCAGGCGTGTAACGGGGGCACTGACTTGGGTATTCCTTGGGTATTCCTGCTGCTGCTGACTGGCTATGTCCTCCCGTTGGTGGGGTCAGTGTGTCTTTGAACTTTGTCTCACTCCCCAGGGATTTTGGCTCATCCATGTCCAAGTGACTGAGAAGCAGCCAAAAGACCCAACAGTGAGGGTGTTGCAGCGGCCAGCGGCGTAGGTGGGCGGTCTGTTGACAGTGACTGTGGTCAGCGGTGTCCTTCCCTGACAGAGAGATGTGGCAGGACAGAGGTGACTTGTGCAATCACGCAGCCAGGGAGTGGCCAGTCTGGGGTTGCTTCTGGACGGGGCGTGTATGGGCCCTGCGGCCTTATCTGTCAGACTCCCATGATTCAATTATCTGTACAGGAGGGGAGGGCACTGGAGGGAACTTGAAACGTGGTGAGACCAGATGAACCAGGGTACCTGTAACATCTGAGCCGTAGTGTCGCTGTGGGGCGGGGTTTTGCCTCAGTATGATTGATCTTCGTCCTTTTTCTTTTTTTAAAATTTATTTGAGAAGTAGAATTACAGACAGAGGGAGAGACAAAGAGGAAAGTCTCCCATCTGCTGGTTCACTCCCCAGATGGCCGCAACGGCTGGAATTGAGCCTATCTAGAGCCAGGAGCCCGGAGCTTCTTCTGGGTCTCCCATGTGGGTGCAGGGGCCCAAGCACTTGGGCCATCTTCCCCTGCTTTCCCAGGCCACAGCAGAGAGCTGGATCGGAAGAGGAGCAGCCGGGACTCAAACCGGCGCCCACATAGGGTGTTGGTACCACAGGCGGAAGCTTAGCCCACTACGCCACAGTGCTGGCCCTGAGGTTTCATCCTCTATAGCTCACCTGTCATCCTGGACGACTGTTTCTCCCTCGTGTGTGCAGTCTGCTGGGACCCTATGGCTCTCCACCTCCAAAATCTATCCAGAACCTGAACACCTCTCCAGACCTGTCCTGCTGCTCTTATGGCCGGAGGCACTGCGGTCTCTGCCAGTCCTCCTGGCCTCCCAGCGTCCAGCCCTGCCCACTACAGCCTGTTCCCACGCAGCAGCCACTCTGCTGGGGGTTGTTGCTAACCTCACCACGTATCACTCCTCTGCAGGGACTCCCAGTTTCACACTGAATGAGAGCCGTCTCCTTACGGTAGACTCCAAGCCCCCCGACATTCCTGCCTTTGCATGCTGGCTCGTTCCAGCTGGACTGGCCTCCTGTGCTGTCCATCAGTGCAGCAGACGGCCCGTGCCCCAGGACCAGGCTCTGTGGCTTTGCCTCAGGTGTTCCCGTGTGTTCTGGTGGATGCTCATAGCCTTGGGCCTTGGTTCAGGTCTCCTTTCCAGCGAGCTTCCCAGTAACCTCACTGCATCCCTCTGATACCACTCAGTGTGTCACCTGTGCTACCCTGCACACACACAGACGTGGTCACTCCCACTTCACCTGTGTGCAGTCCTGGTGAGTGTTCTGTACCCTGTGTGTCACCTGTGCTACCCTGCACACACACAGACATGGTCACTCCCACTTCATCTGTGTGCAGTCCTGGTGAGTGTTCTGTACTCCGTGTGTCACCTGTGCTACCCTGTATACACACACACGTGGTCACTCCCACTTCCTCCTGTGTGCAGTCCTGGTGTGTATTTGTGTTCTGTACCCTGTGTGTCACCTGTGCTGCCCTGCACACACACAGACATGGTCACTCCCACTTCCTCCTGTGTGCAGTCCTGGTGTGTGTTCTGTACTCCGTGTGTCACCTGTGATACCCTGTATACACACAGACATGGTCACACCCACTTCACCTGTGTGCAGTCCTGGTATGTATTTGTGTTCTGTACTCCGTGTGTCACCTGTGCTACCCTGCACACGCACAGACAAGGTCACTCCCACTTCCTCCTGTGTGCAGTCCTGGTGAGTGTTCTGTACCCTGTGTGTCACCTGTGCTACCCTGTATACACACAGACATGGTCACTCCCACTTCCTCCTGTGTGCAGTCCTGGTGTGTGTTCTGTACCCTGTGTGTCACCTGTGCTACCCTGCACACACGCAGACATGGTCACTCCCACTTCCTCCTGTGTGCAGTCCTGGTGAGTGTTCTGTACCCTGTGTGTCACCTGTGCTACCCTGCACACACACAGACATGGTCACTCCCACTTCACCTGTGTGCAGTCCTGGTGAGTGTTCTGTACCCTGTGTGTCACCTGTGCTACCCTGCACACACACAGACATGGTCACTCCCACTTCACCTGTGTGCAGTCCTGGTGAGTGTTCTGTACCCTGTGTGTCACCTGTGCTACCCTGTATACACACAGACATGGTCACTCCCACTTCACCTGTGTGCAGTCCCGGTGAGTGTTCTGTACCCTGTGTGTCACCTGTGCTACCCTGTATACACACAGACATGGTCACTCCCACTTCACCTGTGTGCAGTCCTGGTGAGTGTTCTGTACCCTGTGTGTCACCTGTGCTGCCCTGCACACACACAGACATGGTCACACCCACTTCCTCCTGTGTGCAGTCCTGGTGAGTGTTCTGTACCCTGTGTGTCACCTGTGATACCCTGCACACACACAGACGTGGTCACTCCCACTTCCTCCTGTGTGCAGTCCTGGTGTGTGTTCTGTACCCTGTGTGTCACCTGTGCTGCCCTGCACACACACAGACATGGTCACACCCACTTCACCTGTGTGCAGTCCTGGTGAGTGTTCTGTACCCTGTGTGTCACCTGTGCTACCCTGTATACACACAGACGTGGTCACTCCCACTTCACCTGTGTGCAGTCCCGGTGAGTGTTCTGTACCCTGTGTGTCACCTGTGATACCCTGTATACACACAGACATGGTCACTCCCACTTCACCTGTGTGCAGTCCTGGTGTGTGTTCTGTACTCCGTGTGTCACCTGTGATACCCTGTATACACACAGACATGGTCACACCCACTTCACCTGTGTGCAGTCCTGGTATGTATTTGTGTTCTGTACTCCGTGTGTCACCTGTGCTACCCTGCACACGCACAGACAAGGTCACTCCCACTTCCTCCTGTGTGCAGTCCTGGTGAGTGTTCTGTACCCTGTGTGTCACCTGTGCTACCCTGTATACACACAGACATGGTCACTCCCACTTCCTCCTGTGTGCAGTCCTGGTGTGTGTTCTGTACCCTGTGTGTCACCTGTGCTACCCTGCACACACGCAGACATGGTCACTCCCACTTCCTCCTGTGTGCAGTCCTGGTGAGTGTTCTGTACCCTGTGTGTCACCTGTGCTACCCTGCACACACACAGACATGGTCACTCCCACTTCACCTGTGTGCAGTCCTGGTGAGTGTTCTGTACCCTGTGTGTCACCTGTGCTACCCTGCACACACACAGACATGGTCACTCCCACTTCACCTGTGTGCAGTCCTGGTGAGTGTTCTGTACCCTGTGTGTCACCTGTGCTACCCTGTATACACACAGACATGGTCACTCCCACTTCACCTGTGTGCAGTCCCGGTGAGTGTTCTGTACCCTGTGTGTCACCTGTGCTACCCTGTATACACACAGACATGGTCACTCCCACTTCACCTGTGTGCAGTCCTGGTGAGTGTTCTGTACCCTGTGTGTCACCTGTGCTGCCCTGCACACACACAGACATGGTCACACCCACTTCCTCCTGTGTGCAGTCCTGGTGAGTGTTCTGTACCCTGTGTGTCACCTGTGATACCCTGCACACACACAGACGTGGTCACTCCCACTTCCTCCTGTGTGTAGTCCTGGTGTGTGTTCTGTACCCTGTGTGTCACCTGTGCTGCCCTGCACACACACAGACATGGTCACACCCACTTCACCTGTGTGCAGTCCTGGTGAGTGTTCTGTACCCTGTGTGTCACCTGTGCTACCCTGTATACACACAGACGTGGTCACTCCCACTTCACCTGTGTGCAGTCCCGGTGAGTGTTCTGTACCCTGTGTGTCACCTGTGATACCCTGTATACACACAGACATGGTCACTCCCACTTCACCTGTGTGCAGTCCTGGTGTGTGTTTGTGTTCTGTACCCCATATGTACCTGTGCTACCCTGCACACACACAGACATGGTCACTCTCACTTCCACCTGGCATGGAGCTCTCGTAGCCGTTTTCTGTCATGCTCGCTGACGTTTCCTCTGTGCCTAGAGTGGTGCCTGGTTTGCTTGATGACCTCTGAGTCCTTCCTGAGTGAGTGAAGGACATCCGAGTCAGAAGGTCATCCAGGTGACGGGGTGAGAGGCCGGCACTGTGGCATAGCAGGTGAAGCTGCTGCCTGCGAACGCTGGCATCACATCTGGGCGCCAGTTTGTGTCCCTGCTGCTGTGTTTCCTATCTGGCTCCCTGCGAATGCACCTGGATAAGCCACATGAGATGTCCCAAGTGTCTCGGCCCCTGCCGCTCATGTGGGAGACAGGGAGGAAGCTCTTCTTCGGACTGGCTCAGCCCTGGCTGTTGCGGCCATCTCGGGAATGAATCAGCTGATGGAGAGATCTCTCCCCCTGTCTCTCCCTCTCCCTGTGTAACTGACTTTCAAGTAAATAAATCTTTAAAAAGACAGTGTTCAGGATCTGTAATAACGAAAGTCGAGTGGATGTGAAACTTTGGTTTCGTTTGCATTTTACCCTGAGAGGTAGCGGAGGTAGGGTGAGGTTGTGAAAATAAAAATCCAGAAAGGGTTTAGAGCCTACGGAAGGAAGAAAGAAGCCACCCAAGGGGGAAGCAGCTCCGGCCAATGGCAGTGTGTTCGCTTGTGTCTTCCCGTGAGTGACTCGAGCTGTGGCCTTATGCATGTCCTTAAGGATGCAAATGAGACTCAGAGGTTTTGTTAAAGTACGAGGTGAACACGTGCCGTGACAAACGTGTCACAGCCTGTGCAGCAGCTGGTGTTTGGGAGGAGCCGCGGGGACGGGTGCTCAGTGCCGCAAGGATACCTGGGAAGTTTGCTCCCTCTCTAGGTCGGGGAGCAGCAGCGCAGAATCCTAAGCGTCTCTTGCGGCGTTAGCTCGCTTGTTGCTCTTGGTTCCTTTGGGTTTCCGCCCCCTGCTTTGCCTCCTCCCTTCAGCCCCCTTTCTCTGAGTTTCATGAACCTCACTCGCAGCACCCAACCTGCTGGGCAGAACCTTTTATTCCTGGCCAGGAACGGTCAGCCCTGTGGCCGCAAGGCGGGTGAGGACGCCGCGGGCAGCCGGGCAGGGTGCAGTGTGCGTGTGGAACTCGTTGGCACCGCCCGACGATCCCCGACTGCTGCGGACCCACTTGTCTTCCTCGCCACGTGGACTCCGCGAGCTGGGCGCGTTGCATGGCCTCGTTTGTCAGATGAGAGACCCACATCCTGGCTCTTGCACTTCATGGACAGTGGTGGTAATTTTGGGCCAAGAACTATGCTAATTGCTGGACCTGTGTTTTCTTTTCTTTTTTTGAAGACTGACTTTTTGCAAGGAAGAGTTAAAGGGAGATATATGTATACATATACATATATATATAGAGAGAGAGAGAGAAAGAGAGAGAGATAGATATGGAGAGAGAGAGAGATCTTCATCAGCTGGTTTACTCCTCAAATGGCCTCAACAGCCAAGAGTGGACCAGGCCAAAGCCAGGAGCTTCCTCTGGGTCTCCCACGTGGGTGCAGGGGCCCAAGCACTTGGGCCATCTTCCACTGCTTTCCCAGGCCATCCGCAGGCGCTGGAACAGAAGCGGAGCAGCTGGGACTCAAGACGGCACCCGTGTGGGATGCCGGCGTCGCAGGTGGCGTCTTGCCCTGATGTACCACAGGCCCTGCCCCGTGACCGTCCTTAGTCCTCATATCACTTCCTACATACTGAAAGTTGCAGGCCAGGGTGCAACTCCAGGTGGCTCCGAGTGTGGATGTTTTTCACGGGGGTCGTTGACAGGACCCCGCTGGTGCCCGAGCCTTCGATGACTCAGCGTTCGGGCGAGGGGCGTGTCCCCAGCTCTCGGGGTGTAGCTGGAAGGAGGGGGGCGTCCACGGTCCCCGCCGTCCCACGCCCCCCCCTGGAGAGGTGCTGCCGGCAGTCTTGGGAAGGAGCCCGGTTCTCTCCCGTGCGCTGAGACTCCGCGCCGTTCCCTCCCGGCTTTCTGAGCGAGCCCTGCTCTCCTCTTCTGCCTGAGCAAAACGTGGCTGCAGATGCCGCCTCCTCTCGCCTCCTGCGATGCCTCTGCAAGGGTCAGCAGAGGCCAGCATGCTTAATAAGCCAGAAACGCACCGGCGGCCGCGTGCCAGCCGCGCAGCTCTCCCGAGTCAGTGCGGCTGGTGAGGCAGCCCTGAGCTGTCACTGGAGGTGCACAGCCGTGGGGCCCGGGTGGGAGCTGGCTGGCTGGCTGGCTGTGGGACGGGCAGAAGTGCTACTCCTCGTCCCTGTTCCCCCTGGGTGCTTCCGGAGCCCCAGCTGGTGCTCGCCGAAGCTCGTCCCGCCTGCCCAGGCCGTCTGCGGAGCCCGTCGGGGAAGCCACGTTCCCAGCACGTCCACGTGCAGCCTCGGAGGGAAGCCGAAGCCGCAGTTTTTTTGCTGCGGGGATCGTCGGTCCGTGCCAGCGAGCCTCTGCATGCACACTGCGCCCTGCCCGGCTGCCCACGGCGTCCTCACCCGCCTTGCAGGCCGCGAGGCTGACCGTTCCTGGCCAGGAATGAAAGGTCTGCCCAGCAGGATGGGTGATCCGGTTCTGTGTCTGTCTTCGAGGGGCTCCTTTTGGCTGTCTGCTGGCTTGGCGGAAGGAGGCGCCCCGCGGCCAGCCCTGGGGGTTCTCGGTCTGATGCCACCACGCAGGCCCTGGCATCCAGTCTGCCCGGACCATCTCACTACTCTGACAGGGGTCATTTCCAGGCGGGCAGGTGCAGCCCAGCTCCGTTGCCTTGCCAAGAAGGTTGCTTTTGAAGCAGAGCAGTGGGCAGGCTTGCGGTCTCTCCGCCTCTGTCAGTGTAGACGCTTTGTACACGATAGCTTGTACTTGGCAAAGAACCTCCTGCTCTCTGTGTCTCAGCGTGGGTTTAAACTCCAGAAGGGCACCACGTCGAGATCGGCTGATAATCTCTCATCCCAGTCCGAGCCACTGGTGTCGGCAGATCTAACGACGACTTCGAGGCCCGCGCTGCAGGCGGCCCCAGCAGTGCGGGGTAACCCCGAGAGGGAGAGAGGCAGCACCCCGACTCTGAGGAGCCCAACGTCCTGCCGCCTCGGCCGACAGCGGGGAAACCAGGAGTGCACAGGAGGAGCAGCCGCGGCCCCTCAGCCGGCGCCCGACCCGGGCTCCTCCCTACCGAGAGCCGCCACGGGGCGGCCTGGCCATGGCCCCTACAGTCTAGGGACCCTGAAGGGCACCCACACTTTGACGGGGACGAGATGCTGTCCAGCTGCGACGTGGGCGTCCTTGGGTGTCGCCGCGCTGCAGCACAGGGGCCGGGCTTCTCCCTCTGCGATCTGGGCGGCACCCGTGGCACTTCCCTTGGCAAGACGCGCGTCCCGGCCTGCACCTGTTGTCCGGTGCACGCCTGGATGTTCATGCTCCGCGGGCAGCACCGGCTCGTCACCCCGCAGGGGCCAGAGGAAGACGGAGAGGCAGGATCTGAGTTCACGGGGCCGCAGCTGGAGGAGTTGCGTGAGCAGCCACGGACACCGCTGGGGAAGAGGACGCGAGGGGAAGACTCCGACGAAGAGGAGGAAGTGCCAGAGGAAGGCGAGAATACGGGCCCCGGCAGGCAGGGTGGTGACAAGGGGATGCCCTCGGGTGGGAGGAGGCGCTGTAGAGGAGGAGGCCTTCTAGATAGCGGATCCGGAAAACACTGAGGCTTTCGGCTCTGCAGGGTGAGAGACCTGTGGTGATTCAGCCGGGAAACAGCTGCTGGATGTGGACTTGGTGAGGAGGGGCAGGCTCTGCAGGGTGAGCTACCTGTGGTGATTCAGCTGGTGGCTCAGGCCACTCACGAGAAAGCAGCAGCAGCGGTCAGTGGTCAGTGCTCGCTGAAAGCTCGTCGGGTACTTGGTTCTCCGGGATCGCTGAGACAGGAAGCAGTACCTCGGAAAAGGAGAGCCAGGCTGGGAGGGTGAAGGCCTTTATGACAGTGAGGATGCTGCGTTCCTCGATCGTGCCGCCTGGTTGAGAGGAAGCGACCCAAACAGGTGAAGAAAGCCGGAAAGACAGACGAGCAGCCAGACGGTTGATCACCGGGCGCGCAGCTGAGAGAGGCAGGGCCCCGCCCCTCGGTGTCCCGGGGTCCTTTAGATGCACTCATGTCAGAAGTGGGGTCAGGAGGTTCACTGGACGGTGTGTCCCGGGAGAAACTGAGGAAGGACAGACAGAGACTTAAAGGGTCCATAGAAGCTGGAAAGCCAGCCGAGATTCCAGAACTGGAAGTCAGACTCCAGGGGCAGACGACAGAGCTAACCAGCTCACGTCGCCTCCCTCTGGTGCCGTGAAAGGAGGAGGCAGGTTCACAGTGAAAGCTGGCACTGTAGGGAGGTCACCCCCGAGTGCCCAGGGCTCCCTCCACCTCTCATGAGCAAGGGGAGCCTGAAATAGAAGAAGAAGAGAAAGGAAAAGAAAAAACTGGAGGATAACAGTAGGCTCCAGCAGGAGGACCGAGCCAGAAACAGCGCAGGAAACAAACCCTCTGCAAGGACTCACACGTTCTGACATCCTGTCTCTCTCAGCCGTGTGGGGCGGAATCCAGAGGTCAGGGAAACGGCTGTGTCTGTCGGGAGCCCCCTGCTCACCTGATGAACGTGAGACCAGGGGAGCAAACTGTCCAGACACACTCCCACCGGTACATTCTCCCAGGTACCCAGACTGCTGTGTGCGGGTCCCACCTGAAGGCAAAGTGCAGGTGGCAGAACCCATGTTCATGACAAGCCTGGCTGCGCACTGCTTCGGAAGCCCAGAGAGGGCCTGTGGGCCCTGAGGCCCAGGGCACTGGGGATGGGTTCACGCGGAGGAGTCAGAGAAGCCCAGTGATCATAATACCTGTCACTGCCCTTTACCCCTGCTCTTGGTTTTCTAAGTTCATCTGCTCATGTGATTCTCCTGACCTTGGTGTTTATGTTTAAAAGTGTTGTGCATGGCCGGCGCCGCGGCTCACTAGGCTAATCCTCCGCCTGCGACACCGGGACACCAGGTTCTAGTCCCGGTTGGGGTGCCGGATTCTGTCCCGGTTGCCCCTCTTCCAGGCCAGCTCTCTGCTGTGGCCAGGGAGTGCAGTGAAGGATGGCCCAAGTACTTGGGCCCTGCCCGTGGGAGACCAGGAGAAGCACCTGGCTCCTGGCTTCGGATCAGCGTGGTGCGCCAGCCGCGGCAGCCATTGGAGGGTGAACCAACGGCAAAGGAAGACCTTTCTCTCTGTCTCTCTCTCTCACTGTCCACTCTGCCTGTCCAAAAAAAAAAAAAAAAAAAGTGTTTGTGTATACATGTAGAAAGGGAAGTGTATACTGTGAGAATTAGTAGTGAAAAACTTGATCCTACTAAAATGAAAAAAAAAAAAGCCAATGACTTGAAAAGGAGTTATAAAACATTTGGGCAACGTGAGCTCTCTAGCTGAGGGTCTAGTCTCCCGTGGGTATCATGCCTCAGTATGTGATTTTAATTTCTGTGTCTGTGGAGTGTGTGCCGCCCTTGGCAGAGGTCCTGTGGCGTCTACAGGCAGACAGCTGGCTTCCCGATGCCGAGAGAGATGCGGTGGGGGTCCGATGAGGGTGGTGGTTAGCGACTGCAGGGGGCCTGTGCCTGCTTTGCGAGCTTTGTAGGAGTACAGGTCAGTTTTATTTTGGGTGCCGCTGATCACGGACCTGGCTCCAGGAAGGGAGGGTTGGAAGTGCCCGTCGGGGGAGTGCGTGTGGTTCGGCGTATTCTGCAGAGGTGGGAACGGTTCACAAGCAGGGCCTTCCCCGTGGGTGTGTGTCCGGGCCTGCTGGGCCCAGAGGGAAAGGAGAATGCTTTGTGTGTGTCTGATGAGCTCTGGTCGCACACATGTCACACCGGACATGATTTCGCTCCAAATGTGGAGTTCTGTCCGTTGCCGATGACAGGATTTCAGGTTTAAACTGACGTTCAGCATTGTAATTGGTCACTGCCGTTCAGTAAGTGTAGTCACGGTTACCCTGTGCGTTTTCTCTTGCTCCAGTGCTGGGAGGGTGGTAGCTGATGGGAAAGAGGTCACGAGGCCGCGTGTGTCGGGTCTCAGACTTTCAGCCTCACAGGTCTGTCAGGATCCCGTTCCTGTGCAGCGGTACTGGCGGATGACGTGGCTGTCTGGTCTCCGCCAGCCTTCTCCCGCTGTGCATAGTGTGGACTGTTGTGTTAGTGGCTAGTGCTTGCTCCGGGCTCGAAGTGTTGGCGAGCTGCTTACCCTGGAACCTTAGAGACGGCTCTGTCTCCCGAAAGCCGAAGTTGATGTGACTGAAGACGCACTTTAATTTTAACCCATGTGGCACTGTGGTTTTGAAAAGATGGTTTCTTTGAGAGGCAGTCACACACACAGACACAGACACACACACACACACAGCGAGCTCCTGTCTGCTGGTCACTCCCCAGATGCCTACCACAGCCAGGGTTGGGTCCGGGCTGGAGCCGGGAGCAAGGAGCCAGAAACACAGTCCAGGTCTCCCACACGGGGTGCAGGGGCACAGTTGAGCCATCCCTACTGCCTCCCGTGGTCTACACTGACAGCAGTCGGGAGCTGGGGCACAGACTCCAACCCAGGTGCTGTGATGTGGCACAGACTTCTCACCGCTGGTTCTCCTCTGTGGCACAGACCTCGCGTCTGATCTCGATTTCTTCTGTTCTGTGTAAGGAGCCCCGAGGCGGCCTAGCAAAGCCGGTGCCGTCAGCGGTCTGTGTCTGGGCTCCTCATTTGCGAAGGAAGTAACCGTGGTGGACAGATACTTGGAAACGTAAAATGGGGTCTGTACCGAGCGCAGGCAGGTTTTTTCTCGTCATCGGCTGTACCTGCGGCGCCACAGCTGTTAGGAAGCACTTGCATCGCGTTAGGTGTTGTAAGTCACCTGGAGATTGTGTGTCGTGATCCTCTGGATTCTACGTCATCTAGAGAGAACGGGTGTGGTTACATACCAGTGAGCTGCCACCTCGCAACAGGGGCTGCAGCATCAGCAGATGGTGGTCTTGGGCAGTGCTTGGACCACACAGACGTATGGTCACCGAGAGGCGGCTGTGTCCAGGAAGGTGACTGAGTATTGAGCACGTGAGGGTGGACCTAAGCCGTGGGAACGGGGTTTGCTTTGCAGACTGTTGGCGTCTGTTGTCACTCCGTTAGGCCCATGTCTTGAGTCCTTGTGTGCTCTGTAAGTGCGCTGTCCACCCACACAGTGCTGCTTGGTAACTTGGGGTATGGAGGACTGAACAGGAGGGTGAGTAGGGCTCGGGGCAGCACACACCAGGGAGTCCCGGCTGGGCCAGGGGTAGGCAGCCAGACATGGTGGGCGCCTTTCTTCTTGGTCTTGTTGGTTTGCCTCTGCACCCTGGGGACTGACTTGGGCTGGACAGCGAGCCTGGCTGTGGTTTCCTGAGCCCGGGTGGGGGCAGGATGGTCTGCTGGGGTGGGTGGGCGCTGCAGACCGCTGACATGAAACTGGACAGCTGACGTTGAGAGGAGCACTTCTGGAACCTGTGGAGGGTCACCGCGGGGCACTTGGTGGGCAGGGGAAGCGCTGAAGCTCAGGGCCGTTTGGCTGCCAGCTCCACTCAGGAACGAGCCTGCCTGGCCGGGGAAAGCGTGGAGCCGGGGAAAGCAGGTGCTGCGGCTCCAAGTGCACACCTCGGGGCGCAGCCCGGGGCACCAGCACTCAGCCTCTGGCTGTCCTGCCCACCCACCGCTCCCTCCGTGGCCGCGCACTCCCACTGCCCGGGGAACTCGCCCACCCGCCGGGGGCCCTGGCCTCCGTGGGCTCGCTTCCTGCGACCGGAGACTAAAACGGATGATGTTTCGTGAGACATCACTGTGACAGGAATAGAAGGAAAGAGTGAAGGGGGCTTCGGGGGGGACTGCTTGCTTGGCCCCAAGGACATCACAGGGAAGGAGCCTGGGCTCCGGAGGCGGTGGGCGGGGGACAGCGAGCCCGCTCTGCTCCTGCCCGCCGGGCGGCCTCGCTCAGTGCCTGGTCCCTGAATCCTCATGCTCCACCCGTGCTCCCCTCTGCGCGGTCGAGGTGTCCAGTGAGTGCCCCCAGCACCGTCCGTGCCTGTGCAGGGTGTCGGCCCCCCGTTCTGATGCCCACCAGAGGAGGACGGGCCGTGGTCCAACTCGGCACTTCCCGGTGTGCGATTACCGAGACCGATCGTCCCAAGTGGGTTTCTCCCACTGGCCCGTGTTCAAGTGTGAGAATACGTGTGCCCAGCCTGGCTTCCTCGGGTGGGGTTCAGGGTGCTTTGAGCAAGGCAGGGCTCGGGCAGGTTTCTCCGTCTGGGGTGGGGGAGGCCTGCTGGTGTGGGTGAGGTGGTCGGCGGCTTCAGACGCGGCTACTCGTGCCCTCCCCTGGAGAATCAGGGATGAGGTCTAGGCTGTAGAACTCCGGTGGGAGACTTCCCTTCCCTTCCACCTGTCTCTCCTCTTTGCTGTAGCACACCCTCCATTTCTCTTCTTTGAGCCGGCAGTGTTGCTGTCCACGTCTGCAGTTTTAAAACCCGCTGGTCCTGTGTGTGTGCGTGCACGCTGCCTCTGGCTAGCAGGCAGCAGCTGTGGGAAGTACCCACACCTCGCGGGAGGCACTCAGGGAGTGCAGTGAAGGGGGGACAAGATCTCGTGTCCTGGGAGCGGGTGCTCGCCTGGCAGCCGGCGGCAGTGACGTGTGTCCCAGCATTCTGGTCCCTCCCCGGCTCCAGGTTGGCTGAGTGTGAGGGGTGTGCACCCTGCCCAGGCCCCCCGCCTTCCTCCTGCTCGGCCGCTCCGTAACAGCCTGTTTGCCACGTCTGCAAGTCTGCCAGCAGCGGGTTTCCTGGCTGTGCTGGACGTGGACCATCTTCCTGCTGCAGTGGACTTCGCTCTGGAGTCTGCTCCGAGCAGGGAGCACACGAGTCGGGTGACGTTCAGAGTCCGAGTGTGTTTGTTTTCTGAGGCTACGCTGGGCTTGGTTCCGTGTTCCTTGTCACTTTGTATTTCTGGCCCCTTTGAAATCTCGCGCAGAGCTGCGGCGCCCCGGCCTCCTGAGGCGGGCGGCCAGCGGCTGGGTGTTTGAGTCGGGGGTCTGGGTGCGAGGACATCCTTAGTTGGAAACCGGGTGTGCTGTGGTCCTGCGCTCTGCAGGCCGGAGCAGCCAGGGCCGAGCCCACGTAGACGACCCGATCGAAGAGTCGCTTTCTCGGCTCACCAGGCAGCTGCGGGTGGAAGAGACAGCAGCCTGGGTTTCCTGACACAGAGGGTTAGGGGTTCACGGTGGTCCGCAGCTTGTCTGGGAAGGACACGCCTCAGAAAGTGCTGGCAGAGCACCCCGACAACCAGACATCGCTCCCCGGAGTTTCAGCCGCACCAGCTGGGTTGGTCGGTGCCGTAGAAGTCAGCGTGCTCATAAAACACACGTGG